GGGAACACAGCACACACCCGGAGGAAGGGTGGCATACCCTAACACTATGGGGACACAAGCCCCTGTGTTCGGGACCCTTCTCAGCTTTGCCCTCCATATTTCTTCATCTGGTTGTTCATTTGTACCCTTAACAATAAACTTGTTCATGTAAGTAAAGTGTTTTCCAAGCTCTATGAGCTGCTCTAGCCAATTAGAGAACCTGAGGGGAGGGGGTTGTAACCAGCCGGTCAGAAGTCCAGGCCCCTCAGCTGTGAGTCTGTGCTAACTCTGGGTGTTAGTGTCAGAATCAAATTGCATCCTTGCACGCCCAGCTGGTGTCAGAGTTGTTGGTGTCAGAAACCACCCCTCCCTGGCACTGAACAGGATGGGGCACATGAAGTCTAAAGTCTGGTTTACCTATGGAATCTACCATGCTCTTCATACACAGCAGTGTGTTGGTGTGCCAGCTAGTTCGTATGCACGACAATACCCTTCTGAAGGCTGAGTGGGCCATACCCCAACCTGATGCCCAGAAATTTTGTGGATGAGCCAAGACTCAACCAAGCCATACATTGATGTAAACACATGGACAATGCTCTTGAATACGTCTATGAATTGATTTAATGCGTTGTTCTGCTCTAGTGTAGTGAACGTAGTATATTATTATGCATGTGGCTGTGGGGTGACTTGACCTTCAGGGCTCAGGGCAGACACTAACAGCTCACTCCCAAAGTCAGGATGAGGGCCATACAAGCTGGGGTGCTGGCCCTACTACTGTGGGCTGCCCTCAGAGATGCGTTTCCCTGGCTTCTTGCTTCCTGGTTCTAGAGCTTTTGCTCAGATGGAAGTTTAAGGGCGGGCCTTGAGGAGACTGTGAGGCAGTTGCAGCTGACAGGCAGTGCCCGTGGAAGCAGGAGGAGCTCCGGATTCCTCAGAACAAGTAGCAGAGCTCTCAGCAGGAAGGTCTCCCCAGCACCTCGCTCCTGACCCCTTCCCACTGGAAAACTGCAGCCAGATCAGGATTTTCAAAAGTGCCTTTGGTGTTTCTGGAAGTACTTACAGTAGGATTCAAGTTTTTAAAAATATGTTTATACTTTTTTTAATTTTTAATTTTTTTTCTACAATAAGCGTTTACTTATTTTCAGGGAAAAAAGTCTTAAAAACTATTTTCCACCACTGTCTGGAGGCCTCTTTCTGAGTAGCAGTGAAGATTCTCCTGAGACAGGGCATTATGTTTACAATTCAGCATTAGGGCCATATCCCTTTTGGGTGGTGGTGCTCTGGGAGAAAGCACCCCGAATGTGTGACCGGTTGGGAGGATTGTTTGGGCCTGGTGGTTGCTTCTAAGGTTGTTGTTGGGAAAATAGAGTGGTTTGGTCAGGACCCTCGCCTTGGGTCTGGTTGGGTGTGGTTCAGCACATCCTTTGTAAGCAAATTGTGTGTGTGTGTGTGTGTGTGTGTGTGTGTGTGTGGAGTTAGTGTACATGGGCGCCAATGTATCTTTTTAGTTTTGTTGCTATTGTGTTCTTCAGAGAGAGTTTTAGTGACGCAGGCAGGCAGGTGTCTGCCTCAGATGTCTGCCACTCTACAAGTGGCCATGCTTTCAACCTGCGGCTTCCAAGGATCTGTTTGCCGGTTACCTAGCTCATAGACCTGTGTGTAAGGGGTCTGTCTGGGGACCCAGCCTGGCATGTGAAGGGTTTGTGACCCAGTCTGGAATGGGCTTGAGGGGTCTGGGAGCTTCAAACCCAGCCCTAGCTCGACAATTGGCACTGTGAGCAGGATTCCTACATTTGCAGTAGCCAAACAGTTGTCTGTGGCCTGCCCCAGAGAACCTGGACTGTCTTACCCCCAAATATGCCCCACGAAGAAGTATCTCACTACTTTGAAAGCTTAAAGTTTGCAGAACCAGGGAGGGGGTTTTGGTTGGTGGGAGAGGACGGTGAATACCAGCCTTTGACTGGGCTGCACCTGAGCAGCCCCACCCTGGCACTTGTGCCACTGAAGCTCCCAGGGCCCATGATGCCCACACACGGTCCGGTCTCTTCCTTAGAATGGGCTTCAGATCTGAAGAGAACACTTTTGGATCTCTTCAGGGACATTGTTTTGTCCTTGGATTGCGAACATCTCCAAGGACACACAGGGGTTGGCTACACTCAGTACTATCCATTTTGGGTAAAAAGTGAGGTTCTATTGCAGAGTAGGTTGACCCGGTGTCACATCTGTTTTCGTCATGCTTTGAAGTTATTTACTGGAGCTCGCTGGCCCCTGCCCTGTGAAATGGGTGCTGTCCCCTAAAATCAGTGGTGAAAACGGCCTCCAGTGCAAGCCTGTAATGACGAGCACGCCATTGCAGGGCATTTGCACCACTTGTCAGCAGCTAATTTTAAAAGAAAAGTGCGATTCCTGGAAATGTTGCCAGAGTTTTCTTTCCTTTCTATTTGGAAAAATATAGAAAATCTCAGGCAGTCTAAATCCAGCCTGTGCCAGGTTTAGATGGTGGGTGGGTTCCAGTCAGTGAGTCTGAATAGATAGAAACAGTTCCTCCATACAGCCTAAAAGTGGATTGAAAAGTGCTTCTGTGAATCCCAAGCACCCGGCGTGTCTGCGGGTCTAAGCATCCACGTTCTGGTTCCTTTCTTGCCCCACAGGCACCCTCCACAGCTGCTTTGGACTGAGCTCCCAGGGGCTGTATTTCTGTTACTGTCCAGAACATTTGTCAGTATCTGGGAAGAAGATGAGTAGCTCTTCTGTTTTTATTATCTTAATGCTTGTGGTCTCTGCAGAAGAGCCAGCTCCCGATAAACACAAGCAGGTAGAATGTTGTTGCTAAACAGAAGTAAACTGAAATAACCAAGCCTGATGCCCCAAGGCTTGGGGGCCTTGGTGTTGGCCTATCTCCATCAGGGACTGTTGTGATTATTCTACAGAGGAGCTTCCATTTTCTCTGGCAAATAAAAATAATCCTTGACGGCAGTAAAATTGTCCTCCTTTAAAAGTAAGAAGGACACACATGGGCCGGCCCGGTGGCGCACTGCTATAGTGCGCTGCTTGGGAAGTGCAGTGGCGCTCCCGCCGAGGGTTCGGATCCCACATACAGACCGGCCGCTCACTGGCTGAGCGAGGTGTGGGGGCAACGCCGAGGGTTGCAATCCCGTTGCCGGTCCCGGTCCGGTACGGGCACGACACTGAGGGTTGCGATCCGTTGCCGGCCATGGAAAAAAAAAAAAAGAAGGACACACACATCTCCATCATTTGCCTAGAAGTTACTCCTTGCAGACTGTCAGTATTAAGTTTTTCTGCTGAAATGCATGCAGTTTCTGAAGCCAGTGCCTTCTCTGTTCTCCAGATGGACTTTCTGGCCGTGACCAGCCAGTGGAGCTGCTGAATCCTGCCCGGGTGAACCACATGCCCAGCACGGGTAAGTCAGCAAACTTTGCCCTGTCTTGCTGGCACTGGGCTGAGCCGAAGTGGGTGTTTTGAGGCTGTGCTTTATTGGGGGATTCGGAGAGAAGGGGGGGTGTGGGTTATTAGGCTTGTTGAATTTGGGTGCTGTTTCCCCGGGTAATGGAGACCATTGTTTTTGGAAATGCAGTGGACATTGGATTTATGCTAGATGGTACTCCAAAAAGTTCATGGAAAAATAAAATGGAGATAATGCAAATCTTTCCGTGAATTTTTCGAAGACCCCTAGTATTTAAGTGGCAGAGAAATGCTGATCATTTCTCTCTCGGGCTTTTAAGGGCATGTTCTTCCCAAAGGTGCCCCTCACTTGTTTTATGTATGACCACAGGCCCTGATCCATGTGAGAAAACGTGGGGAAGAATTATGAGCTTGAGCTGGGGCCAGGAGTCCTCGCTGTGGTGTAGCCAGATTCCAGCCATGGGACCACAGACAGAGCAAGCCCTGTCCTTGGGTCTCTGGTTTTTGTTGGTAAAATGAGTTAATGGGTAGTCTGTCTTCCAAGCACCTTTCTGTTCTTTAACAAAAAAGCATCAACTGTGATTCTAAGTTTTCATTGCATAGATAATATTTCATAATGATATATAGATAATATTGTACTTGAAAAGGTGCTTTCCAAGTCTATAGGCTGTGGAACCCCCCACCCCCTTTTTTTTTCCCTCTCTCTTCTTTTTCTGTAAAACACTTCTCCATGTAGAATTCTCCTGGGTTTAAACCCTGAGCATGGGTACTGTTATTCCCAGGCCACTTGGCCTTATTGAGAATAAAACCTCCTGAAGGTCTAGAGGCTAAGTGAACTATTGTTCCTGTTGCAGATATGCTCTGAAGGGCAGCTCTGCGGGACCCCTGCCATCATGGTGTCCTGCAGGCCTGGGGCCCTGGTCTGTGCTCCACACACCCTCCTGGGTAGACAGCCCTTGCCATGGCCTGCGCCTGCGCCTCGTGGGCCCTGCTAGACCTGCCGGTTGTGTCACCTTCCCCAGTCTCCCTTGAAAAGAAGTCAAAGCAAGCTTGAAGCAAGGCTGAATGTTCAAAGAGATTTTTTTTCTTGGCCTAGGGATTCTCTGAGGTCAGCCAAGGACCGTATTTGACATTTCCCCAGACACAAAGCTCCAGTTGTGTCTTTTCAGTGCTCCTAGAAGGCGCTCCTGTCCCTGGGCTGCGCGCTCAGACCTCCTGCAGGGATGCTTCTTTCTGTCTTCTGATTTCCACACCTCTTCTTCACCTACCATTCCTACTTTTTACCCCAGGACACTTGAGCCCAGGGGAGGGGTCAGGAGTTTTTGATACTATTTGAAGATGCTCAATTTTTAAATTTTGGCGTATGTAAAATAAACAGCTTTAATTTTCACTTTCTCTTGAGTTCACTCTGCCAGTGTTATTTTTGTTTAAACACTGAATCCTTGTGTAGCTTGGGCATTTTGAGATAGTTTCCTGGTGCTCGCCCAGGTGTGCAATGGAGGTAAGAGGATTTTTCAGAGATCTTGATGGACCGTGAAAAGATTATAAATATGCCTAATTTCCAAGTGAACCAGAAAAGGTGGGCTTCAAGTTAATTTTCTGTCTTGGGAAGTGTACCGTGCCTGTTGAGACCTAAAATGGACCCCAGCTTAGTTTGAGGACTGACCATGGACTTCACTAATGGACAGAGCGAACCTGGACCCTGGCTCTATGCTTGCTACCATAGACTGCAGGGTCCTAGGCAAGTTGTCAAATAATTCAGTTTCATTTGCTCATTTTTTTAGATTGGGATAATAATTCCTCTCTACAGAGTGTTCATAAAGATCAAATAGGTATCATCTTCTTAGCAGTTTCTCAATAAAAGTCATCTCTTAATGTCCTGTTGACACTCTGAAGAAACTTGTGCCACCTGAATTGAAAGGTGGCATATCGGGAAGGGCACCCCATGAAACGGATGCCAGTCATTTACTTCCCTTGTGACCAGGTTCTCAGTGATCAAAATCAAAGGATAGTGCTGTGTTTCCCAGCATTTATGGCACATTTTTGCATCATTGGTGGTTGGAGTGCTTGTAGTATGATTTAAACCAATATAGAAGCAGTACCCATAAGCAGTGGGCAGAGAAGAGGTGCTCACATGTGTGGCAGTCCTTGTCAACACCTGTCCAGAGGCCCGCACGCTGGCATCTGCTGGCAGCCGCTAAAATGAAAGGCCTTCTTTCAAACCACATTTTGGTGATTTCAACCCACTATCAAATACGATAAAGAAATATTAATCTCAGGTTGTGTGGTAATTTGAAAATTGATATGAAAATGACTTTAAAGCCACATTTTTATGATATGGGGGTGGAAACATTTTTAGGTGTATATTTATGTCAATTCCAGTTTGCTGTTGTACATTTCCTAACAATTTAATTTAATCATAATTGTTCTTTTGACACTTGAAGGTATGAAAATAAACTGATGTGTGTGCATATATATATATATATATATATATATATTAGTTATAGATCTATTATAATTATATATTATATATAATTAATACTACAGTGTTCAGGAATGAATATAATATAAATTTTATATATAATTAGTATATATACATGTAAAGTCATCAAGAATTACTCCAACATTCACCATGGACTTGTTCCCTCTGAACTTAGAAGATGTACTTTGAGTAGGCACAGTACCAGACAACCCTCCCTACTATTTTGTCTAAATTCTTGACCATTCCTTGTGAATGGTGGCATGTTCAACACAATTTTTTCTGATTATGGTTCTTTTTAAATGCTCTTAGTTCTAACAAGTTCTGACATCAAATATAAAAGCATTATTCATATGATTTATTTGTGTACCATTTTGAATTGCAACTTTAGATAATTCAGGCAAGCATATAGCTTTTGTTGGAAAAGTTTACATCAGAGGAGGAAAAAGCCAAAATGCTATTTGTTTTGGATTAATTCTGATCTAGTCAGCTTCTCTCTAAACTCTTTATATTTAAATAAGACTCTCCTTCATTATTTTTTTGTTCCCTTATCTTAAAACTTTTAATTGTAAAATAGCTCTATCATAATAGATAGGAAACATAACCATTTGACACCAGTAAGATAAAAGAGATATATTAATATTATCCTACATTAGCATTATTTTTCTTTACTTTTTTGAATAAATGGAATGTTACACTTATGGACGAGGTTGTACCATTTTTCCCTTCCCAGAAGCAGTAGTTACCTTCGTTGGTGACTGGAAGGGCCACTCTTGGATAGGGACTCTATGCAGTCAGAGCCTGGGCATAGACATGACAGCTGGGTGGGGTGGTAGAGGGAGCTTGTGGCCAGGTGTTGTGTTCTCGTGTCTTGTGTTTTCCCATGGAGTTAGGAAGCACCGTCATCAGCTCAGAGTTAGATGGAAGAGGAGACTGTCGGCGTTTGAGGACAGGGGAGAAGGTGTGAAATGGTCATCTAGGAGAGTGAGTTTAGTTACAGACCAGCGAGATGTCAAACGGGATCACACAGCCAGCTGTGCCATGTGGTTAGATTATAGGGAACTTAAAAAGCTGAGTCATTCATTTCTGAATCACTGTAATTTTTTTACAAAGTATTAGACACTTTTCCCTTATTATAAAAGCAATGTGTATCTATTATGGAAAAATGACATTATACTAAACGTTTTGGGTGTTGGTTTCCAGAACTGGAGAGTGAGCTAGCTCAGAACTGGACAGTGTAGGTGCTCTTGAACCTTCATGGAGTGAAGGGGTTCCTGGAGAAAACCTGAGTTGTCCCAGAGAGAACTGGAGGAAACCAGAATCTGAGTAAGAACGCGTGTGAAGCACTTACTGCTGAAGGTGGTGTGCTGAGAGGGCTTTCTGTCCATCGCGCTCTTCCTCAGCACAGCCGCCAAGTGCCCTGCTGCTCCTGCCCGGCCCGTCGTACACCCAAGGAAGGTGGGACCCTGTCCCAGGGTCACTGTGCGTTTGAAATATGCGGCGGGACATGTCTGCTCTCAGCGTTGTACTACTGGGGAAAGAGACAGCCTCAGAAAATGCTGTGCACTTCTGTCGGTCACAAGGGGAAACTGAGGCTGACTTCCAGGCTGGGAGAGGCGCCTTCTACGGTTCCCTCAGACACAGGGTGGAGGGAGGCTGCGTACTCTCTGTACGTGCAGCCCTATAAATGTGTGCTTCTGTCAGAGTTGTGGAGGTTCCTTTCTAAAGTTGTACATCAGAAGTGCAATTTTTAAAAGAAGATTCTGGAATCATAATGGTGAGAAACTTAAGAAACTGTGGAGAACTTCTCCAAAATAGTAAAAACCTGATGTTGGCTTTGCCCTGGACTCCCAGATCTTAAGAGCCTCGGACCAGCGCCCTGTGGAAGGTGTTGAATGTGTTGATGGTGCTCTTGAATTTGGAACGGGGCCTGTGTGAGGTCGGCTGCACCTGGCGCGGTGTCGCTCCCAGCGGCGTTTTGTCCTTGTAGTGGCATGTTTGGTGAGAAGGAAATCCCACCAAGTACCAACGTGAGAAGTGTGCACCTCAGGGAAAGCTTCAGATGGTCTCCCGTCCCTGGCGTGGGAAGCTGTTGGTCACTGTAGGAAGTGGGTCCCGGTCCATGAGCCTGGTCGTCCCGTTTCTGCTCGGTACCGTTGTGTGTGGTTCTAGCGCCGGGCTGGACTTTCTGGGTCTGGACAGGGTGCAGAGCGGGACAGCTGCTGCCTGTGGACTGTGGCCACCTCCTGCTGCCGCCAGGCCTGGGAGGGGGGGCGCGGGCTGGCGGGGTCATGGGGGCTGGTGGGGTCACGGGGGCTGGCGGGGGCACGGGGTCTGGCGG